TGTGTGAGAGTTTTAACAAGATGTATTTTCTGCCATGAATCTAAATATAACTGTAGTGTAATTCTGACATGGCTTCAGTGAGTTGCAAAAGACTTCTCTATGATTATCTACAGTTTTATGGATGGGGAAATTTTGTCAAGCAAGAGGAGGTAACTTGCAGATCCGACCGATCGGTGCAGAGTTTGGAAAAGAATGCTGAACTCTTAGATCCACTGCTGTAAATACTGAAGTACAGTTCCCCATTTTGCTGTATATCATGTTATACAAATTGGCATAGTGGTTTTTGAATTGTTCTATTTTTCATTTTAAAATCCAAACTGCCTGCTTCTGTTGCTGTTTAAAAAGAAAATATTTACAAATGTTAGGCAGGTGTCCTACTGGGCTTTGGTGTCTTTGTTGTGTTCTGTCTTCCTTGTGAAGTTCTCAAAACAAGCAAATTATTATTTTCTTAAGTTATGTTTAATAGAGTGGAATAGTCCAAGAATGAATACATTAAAAGCATAAGTGATCATGTGGCTCTCCATATCAAGCAATATATCACTATCAAAGATAATCATTGAATATGTTTAAAAATTTATTTGAGTCTAGCTTAGGGTTTGTGTTATACTTTATTGAACGTATTATTCTTCTCATTGGTAGTGTAAAGTGGCATCTAGTTGGTATTTTTATGAATGGTATCCTGACAAAAATGCTAATTGTGAGGAAATTCATGCAGGGATAATCCTTTAAACATGATAGCTGGAGGACAGGTTTAGCTAAGTCTTATTGCATCTCATTTGGGCTCACTGAGGGTTCCTTTGTATGTTCTTGAAGAGGAGGGATAAAAGCTAAATCCTTGGGAAATGACCAGATGTGCCTATACCAGTAGACTTATGTCTGTAGTGGGCCCAGAGGTCATGTTAAACAAATACAATTTAGAATTTAAAAAAAAAAAAAAAAAAAAAAAAAAAAAGAAGGCAATCCCCGTGGCTTTACAGTCACACTCTAGTCTGAGTTGCGAAATGCAGGTTCAGAACCAAACCGGAGTTAGAGCAAACTGTGTGCTGAGGTTAGCCCGAAGGTGATGCCCAGCCCGGGGTAGGTGTGATGCTCACAGAGTGCTCCCTGCTGGGGGATCCCAACATCGCTGCTCCCAGCGCGGGGAGCACCACAGCTTCCCTCGGGTGACTGTTTCATTGCTGCTGCAGCTCTTGATGCAAGGCATTGAAGCAGAAAAACTCCCTCTTCACAAACTTGCTTATTTTTACATCAATGCTGTGGGTTGCCTGTATTTTAGTTGAATGTGCATTTGTCAAACTTCTCTGTTTTGAGAATGTTTAAAATTATAGCTGAACTAGATTTTTCCCAGCTATGCCATTAACTTGTGCTACGATTTTTATATTCCTCTTTGGGGGTAAGTTATCAGGTACTGCTGTTTGCTTAAAATGAATGCTAGCCCTAACTTTATCAGTATTTAAGCCAGGGTGTAGATGTAGTCCAAAATTACTGTCACATGCTACATGCTTCTTTCTGCACTTTTAACTCACACAAAATCCCTTAAATCTTCCCACTTCTGTAATAATTTTATTGTATCTCCACATACGACTTAACGTAATACAGAAACAAAAAAACAAACCAAGGTGTTACTTGTTCTTCGAATGTGGCTGTGAAAGATGACGTGTCTATTTTTGTCTCAGTTTTAGGAATGCTTAAATCATTACACCAACTTCAGGTTGAGAACAGGCGGTTGGAAGAGCAGATAAAGAACCTGACTGCCAAGAAGGAGAGGCTTCAGCTCCTCAATGCCCAGCTCTCAGTGCCCTTTCCAACAATAACTTCAAACCCCAGCCCTTCTCATCACGTCCATGCCTTTCCAGTGCAAGCACGTGAGTAGAGATTATGACAGTGTCAGAGCAATTTGAGCCTGGATTTATATGAAATATCTATTTTGTCTACATAGGCTTTTGATGGGAGATGCGTATACATGTAGGATAAATATAGACCAAGTATTTGCTGATGTGTTTAAATGTTTGAAAGTCAATGGGTGTATTTATCTAACTACTTGTTTCAGTGCAGTTTCTGTTTTAATTCAGTCTGGAGCACATCTGTTTGAATCTATTGATTCGCCAATTATGTAGTTAATATTTTACAATTAAGCAGTGATTTTAAGGTTGACTTTACATTTTCAATGTTTACCTCTGACATTATTTTGAAATAATTATTCTGAATCTTTTTACATGTTACAGAAATGTAACCACTGTGTGTTTTTTTGAAATAATTACTTTAGCACCTAGCACTGATTCCTTGAACAGCAGTAAAAGTCCTCATCTGGGAAACAGTTTCCTACCAGACAATTCTCTTCCTGTATTAAATCAGGTAATTTTGATTTCTTTCTCCTAAACCTAAACTCGTTACAAGTTAACTCCTCGTAGTCCTGGCATTGTGCTGTTAGGTGAATTTTTATGCAGCTGAGGGGGTTTTGTTGTTTGTTTTGACACCAGGAGATAACCTCCAGCGGACAAAGCACCAGCAGTTCATCAGCGCTTTCCACTCCACCACCTGCTGGGCAGAGTCCGGCCCAGCAAGGCTCGGCAGTCAGCGGAGGCAGGTCAATGGTGTGACAGTGGGGGCACTGGCCAGTGGTATGCAGACTGTAACCTCCACCATTCCTGCAGTGCCTGGGGTGGGTGGAATCATTGGAGCACTGCCAGCCAGCCAGCTGGCAATCAATGGAATTGTAGGGGCTTTAAATGGGGTCATTCAGACCCCAGCAACAATATCACAGAACCCTTCTCCTCTCACTCATGCAACTGTGCCACCCAACGCAACGCATCCTCTGCCAACCACGCTAAATAACAGGTAAGAATTTGCTGATTTTATCTTTTCCCCTGATGGTGCCTGCTGTTCTTCAGCTTGGCTGTAGTTTTTGTCTTGCTCCAAAGGTACTGTTTCTTTCTTAGCCTGTAATAGTCAAACTAGGTCCTGATCTGTGAAGGAAAGTGAGGAGGTATTTAATGGAAGCACAAATAGTCAAGTTAAAGAGATGTTGTTTTCTGTTTGGCTTTTGGGAATCCTAGTGTCCTTTTATTCTTGTTTTTTAGTAAGTCACATTCCTAATAATGTAAATCTGCTTTAGTGCATTCTTTAGTTCAAAAAACGATATTCCTTGTCCTGCCAATTGTTCTTTTAGGGTTAAAGGAGCACTGGAACTACCATTTGTTGCAGTAAGAAAAGGGGGAGGGGGAGCAGGAGAAGGGTATATGGTCATGTAATTCAAGATGTAATAGGCATAACTAACCAGAGCTGTAATACAGTTGCATGGGGTTTTCAGTTGTCTGCACTGACTCCAAAACCAACGAAATTAGTTTTTCCAGTGGTGTTCCTGAGGATTTCTAAATGCATAAAAAGATCCATGTGTGAGTGTTGGTAACATCCCTTCACCAAACCCAGGTACCCTCAGCAGCACAAACTGCTGCTGCTCGAGCTGCAAGGCAAATGGGTAACAAAAGGAGACAGCTGCTTTCCAGGAAGGGGATTGGACTGCTTGGTCTGGAAGTATTTTGGGATAGAGCAGAGCCTGGGCCAGCTCATTCTCCCTGCTCCCCTTCCCCCCACCCCTTGTACTGCCCAACTGCAGCTCTGTGTGGAAAGAAATGCCTGCAAATGGGGAATGGATTACTTGTCTTTAAGCAGAGTTTATTTTTGGAGATTATGGTGGATTACCTGCCAAAGAAAAAAGGCCTATGTGACTGGAATGCTATAAGAGATCCCTAGTTTGTAGTTTCTTTTTCCAGTTTCTTTCCTTCCTGTTGGCTTGACAGTTCCTGAGTATTTGTGTACCATATCACTGTGTGGTATTACTTCAGTAGGCTCATAAAACCTGGTACTGTCAAGTGTATCCTGTTGTTTTGATGTGCTGTTATGTTTTTACTGAGGAGGTTCTAATTTTCATAGTTTATGTCATGTATGAACACGAAGTTTCATAGGTTAAACAAAAAACATTCTGTTTATGAAAAGTTATCTTCCTGAGTATCAGAGGTTTGAGGAAAACACAAGAATTTTGTGTTACTCTACCCAAAAGTGTGAGGTGGAGTAAGAAGTGCTATACAAAGTAAGTAATATTAACCAGTTGCATAATGCTTTCCACTTTGAGATAATGCCAGAATACATCAGTCATGCTAAATCCCAGTCATGCTGCTGTTTTCTCAGATGATTTTGGTAACAGATTATTTATTTCTGACTCTGTATATTGCAGAAGTTATTTTGTTTCTTTTTAAATATCCACCTTAACCACTGTAACTCTTCAGTGTGTGGCCTAGTAATAGAATACTCTACTACTAGTAGAATTCTTGTAGTAGAATTCATGCAAAATAGTGCAACTAGTATCCTGTTCATAAGCCCTCATTGCAACTTTTAGTAGAGCCTGGAATATTCCAATGATTCTCTATTTTCTACTACAACAAGCTTATGATGTAAAACTCTGCCAGGACTTCCTGTTCCTTCTCTGCTTTATTTGAGTTCATCCAGATTATTTCCTGGGCCCCTTTCCTTTTGAGGTCTTTCACAATTACCCCCATTTTCTGTGAGTTTTTAGTAGTTGTATATTTAGAAGAAAAAAGTTGAGGCTGAGCCAGCACTAATGGTAATCAGTGCTAATATCATTTTGGTAATGACGATACACGATAACTCAGCCCTACTTTCTAACTTTGGGGTATTGTTCTGTAATTAAAAGACTTGCCAGAGATTCCTGTAAGTTGCTGCTTACAGATCCTTTTCAAGCTTCCAACAGGTTCATGTGAGAAATAGCTAAGAGTGTTCCCCAATGAATGAAGACTTCTTTATGCCAACTGTCCTCATTCATGTGAACTCTTTAACTGTGGGACACAGGGAGGTGAGAAAACACTGATTTGCACACTGCTCTTGGAGAGAGTTTCAAGTTGTAGGTAAAAGAGCCAACATTCATTCAGCAGAGAAAAATACCTAATCCTTTTCTGGGAAAAAGATGGCTTAATACAGATTGGTAGCAACTGGGAGATTAAGTGATTTGAGGAAAGAGATAGGATTGTTTCTTTACGTTCTCGCAACCAGAGAGGACTGTAGGATGGAGAGTTTCAGACTGATCATGTACCTTTTAATGAGAAGCTAAAAAGGATTAAATTTACATTCCAAGCTGATCTGGTTTAGGGAAAGCTCTGTGGTGAAACCCAGTGAACTGTCCCTTCTGGGAAGCTTGGGAGCTGCAGCGTTTTGTCTTCTGCAGTTTGGTTTTGTTTGTAGACACTGAGATCTCAGCTCCTGGCTGAGGGTATTTTCTTACAAGTGCCTATGCAGAGCAAGAGGGGTGGGCAGAGTGATTAAAGACAAGGGAGAACAACAGCAGAAAAAAAAAGTGCAAAGGTAAAACATCTAGGAAAAAAGAAAGGATGGGATAAAATAATGAAAAAAGCAGTGGAGAAGATTAATTCCAGTATAGAAGAATACAAAAAAAGGGAGGTAAAAAGAGAAGAAGGAAATAATGGTAATATTAGTCAGAATGTTGTGGAAATGGTGCCAAAGGCTTTATCTAAGTCCAGGTAGACATATCCACAGCCTTTCCCTCATGCACTATGTGGGTCACCCTGTCACAGAAAGTCAGGTCAGTCAGGCAGGACCTGCCTCCCTGGTTTTCCTGCATGTGCTATGTGTTGGCACTCAGGGTGATCTGCTCCATGACCTTCCCTGGCACCAAGATCAGAGTGACTGGGCTGATCCCCAGATCCTCCTTCACGGCCTTCTCGTAGACAGGCACTGCATTCACCAGCCTCCAGCCAACTGGGACTTCTGCAGTCAGCCAGGGCTGCTGGTAAGGGGTTAAAAGTGTCTTTCCCCAGCTCCCTCAGTGCCCTTGGGTGGATCCCATCCAGCTCCACAGACTTCCCAGAGACACAGTTCCCATCCCCCATAGGAAATAGTAAGTGCAGCTCAGCATGTGTTTCCTGTAGCACTGAGGCCATCCGAGGAAGTATGAAACAATTTATATATGGCTTGCATCCGAGCAGCAGAGGATGGTGATGCTTTGGGTATTTTCTTATTGCTGGTTGAGACCAAGTAAATGCCAGATTCCAGCACAGTCAGGCTGCAGCCTGCTAGCTGCTGTGATAACACAGGAGATAATATTTATCTCCAGAGAAGCTAAGTGATTGTAGCCTAATGGTGTGGATTCGTGGCTGATTTAAGTTAATAATTCCTTACTACCATCACAACAAGCAGTCCTGTCATCCTCTTGGCCATCCTAGGCACACCTTCTTGCTTGTACTAGCACTTGTGCATTCATACAATGACCTCATCTACATTAAGAGATAATCTTTCAGTGTGTTTTGTATTGGCTTAAGTTTCAGCACAGTTCCCAGGAGATGCAGCTCATTGTGCAAGAGTTAGTACGAGGGGAGGGGACAGAAATATACTGAATGGGAAATACTTCACGTTTCAATAACAGGATAAACCTATCATGAAACTACACCTTATTTAATGTGTACTTGAAACTAGTAAAAGCTGACACTGGTACTGAAAGAGTAAATCCAGCTGTCTGCCTGGTGTTCTGCTCCTGACACACCCTTGTTCAGGCTGTTGGTCTTGCAGTAGCTGAGAAACCCATTATTTCCAGATTAGTTGTCAGCTGGATCTACTCCCTCCCCAGTTTCCTAAATATCTGCAGAAAACTTTATGTAGGCATGAAAACAGAGACTGGGGGTGAAGTAGTGGGCAGAGGCAGCATATCTCATCCCATGGCAACATCCACTGGCCCCTGCAAGGCTGAAGGTGTTTGCTAAATTACAGACAAGGTGTGAGCAATAGTGAGTGATCTGAATGTCACAGAAGATGAAAATTAGAATGAAACTAAGGCAGAGTAAATGCTTGGTAACTTAACTGTTAAAGGTTAGCAAGACATGTCCTGTAATATAAAATCCAGCTTTTTTACACAAGGTATTTTTTAAAAAAAAAAGACAAATAGTAATTATTGTCTGAGTTTCGAGTACTGTGTGGAGTAGATTCATGCTGCAGGTAAAGTGTTGCTGTCACTCAGCATGTATGAGACTTGGGGGTGGGAGTGGTAATGTGCAGTAGGTATGTGTCACAAAATGCAACTGGACAGACAGTATTTGCATGTGCAATCAAAATGCTAACTGGGGACTGGCTGTTTGCGTACATCTGTGCTTTAATGGGAAGCTGAAGTAAAAGGTTCCCCTGCTTTGATATAAACTGCAGTATTACCCTGTCAAACCCTACAGTGCCTCGGGACTAGGATTGCTTCCTGACCAACAGAGACAACTTCTACTCCATCAGCAGCACCAGCAATTTCAGCAGTTACTAAATACCCAGCAACTCACATCAGTAAGTTTTTCAGTTAATGATGATTTACTCCTCTGTTACATTCTAAGGAACTAGAATTCTAAGGAACTAAGTAAACTCCTCAGCCTGACATAAATACTAGAAATACGTTGATCTTGATGTTAAAGGCTTTGATAATCTTTTAGTTTTTCAGCTGCTTTAACTTTTTTGGATGATAGTCACGTTAAAGGACAGGATGTTATTGTGCTGTGTGTATGGCTAGAAGAATCATTCCCTAGCACCTTCTGTTCCATTTTGTCCTGTGTGGATATGGTGCCTTGTCTCTCTCAGCATCAGCTGTGGGCAGCAGAGTTTGGGACCATGTATGGATTCTAACAATGTCCTAAGCTATTCTCTGGTGGCAGTAGAACACTAGCAAAAGATTTTTGGATATCATCCCATGAGCTGTCTTTGCTCTGCTTGCACTGTTCATATAGGTCATTAGGTAACTGATTTAACTATTTGTATTGTTGATTGTGTAGTTTCAGTACATGGTCTTCTCAGGTGTGTTTGTTCTGACAGAGGCCTGATGAAGCCAGCAGGCTTAGCTGAACTGCTGAGCTACTTATTTCAGGAAATCTTACAGGCACTTTCTTCCCTTTCCCACAGTCTCATGGAACTTCATTAGTGTAACCTGAATTAGCTGCGATTAGGTTAAGGTTTGAAGATCTGGATAAGCAGGAACCCAGGGAGGAGCTCTTTTTCAGTAACTAATTACTTTTCTTTTTCTCCTCCTTGCTCAAGGAACAACATCAGGCCCTTTTGTATCAATTAGTACAGCAACAGCATCACCATCACCAACACCATCAGTCTGAAGTACAGCAACTGCAGATTACTGGAGGAGCACAGATACCCATAAACAACTTACTTTCAGGCACACAGGCCTCAACACTTAATGCAGCTGCTACCAACCCATTCCTTACAATCCATGGAGATAATGCAGCTCAGAAGGTGACAGTAAGTATATTTCTCAATGTAGTACCTCCAGGAGGTAACTGAAAGTTAAGAAGCAGGTTATGTGCCTGTGTTCACAAACCATGGTGCATTTTTTCTTTATTTTTCTTGAGCCTTGGGCTGCACTTAATGAGGTTCAGAACTGTGTGAACTTGTAGTCACACCAAACCTGTCTGCTGCACACTCTTGATTCCCTGGATCAGGACACCAATCCAGTGACCTCTGCCTTCCTCTTGTAATTACAGCTGCAGCCCTAGTGCTCCTCACCCCATTTCTTCCCCAGCATTTTGTCCACTCTTTTATAGATCATTCCTTTTATCACCCTCCTTGGCAAGGTTGCCCTGCCCAGGCCTCAGACACTGTGGAGCTGCTGAGATTAGTTGATGCCTTGAGAGGTGAAACATTGCTGGGAAGGTGGAATGTGTGTTAGGAGAATGGGCCATGTGCATCTTGGTAATGGCCTGGGAAAACAAGGCTGTACCCTGGGAAGCTGAGAGGTTCTTTTGCTTGACAGAATAATAAAACCTTTTCTAGACAGATAAGGAAACAAGACACATTTTTCTGGCAAGATGTTCCATTGTCTTCAGTATTTGCCTTTAATCTCCATCCCCAAGACAGGAATACTTTCTTCAAGAAGTCAGAGAATAGACTTCATTCTCTAAGGGTCATACATTTAAGATAAGATAGGATGAATAGAACAGGAAAACAGATTTCCAGTATTCCTTGAAGAAGACATCAAGTGGCAGTGGTGGAGAAAAAAGGGAAGTTTGTCTGCAACAGCAGGTGGGGAGAGTTTGGACTGGGTACCAGTCCCCTCTCTGCTTCCCACTCCCAAAGCCTCCAGCTACTTTAGGAACACTGTGCTGGAGGACTCAGGCTTGGGCCTCTGTGGTGCTTCCAAAGTAGTAGGTGAGATACAAAACACAAATGATGAATTTTCAAGATGACTTTTCCTGGAAACAGCTCTCTGTGAACTTTAACTTTCATTAAGCTTTGTGCAGGGTCATTGTCATGTTCCAGTTTGTACTGCAAACTGCAGTGCTGTTCTCAGGTCCTGTCCTCTCCCTCTCACTGACTGTCAGAGCAGATACCCTGCCACAGGGGTTGGCTCCATGCCTTGCCTTCATTTAGGAATGTTCTGTTTCTTCATGTTTACAATTTATCTCCCTTCATTTTCCAAAAATTAGTAGTGAGTGGAATTGAGAGCCTGTATTTGGTTTGCATCAGAACAAACTAGTCCGTGTGACCTTACTTGGAATTTTTTGAATTGGCCATTACTAGGTCTGTCCAGGGGGACATATTTTTACAAATTTACCATTACAGATTTTGTTTATGTTCTTATAACAGCTGTAAATTATTCCAAGAAATCTCAGAACAACTTTCAAACAAAATCCTTAGAAACAAATTTCTTTTGACATTGCTTTTATTTTGTTAAGGTTAGGATTTAGACAGATTGCATTGGATTGCTGAACTGTTTGAGCACGAAAAGAATTAACAAATTCTCTCTTTGCCAAAGTTGGAATGTTTTAATCTCGTTGGCAGTTGGAACAGGTTTTCAGGTATTTCGGAATACTCAGTAAATGGGATCTGGTCTTTGCTCAGTACTGTTCAATACTTGCAGGAAATGTCATTGCAGCAATTTATGAAGGGAAGACAAGTGATGGGGCAAAATGGAATTTGTATTTCTGTTTTCACATTGTAGACTTCAGGCCTCTCCAGTGGGTAAAATGTAGCAGAGGTCACCTGGGGTTTGTCCTGTGGTTCTAGAGAGATGCATGGCCAGGAACAGCCAGTCTTGTTTGAATCAAAGTAGAAACAAAACTGGTGCTTTCTAACATTAGTATTAGTTGCTTCAGTGTAGGGCTACTCCTTTAATTATTTCTTCCTCTCCCACCTTTTATTCTACAGTACATGGTTATTCTTTACCATGCAAACCTTACTATTCAGAGAGCTCTCGTGTCCCTCATCTGCTCTGTCACTTGTATGAATCTAAATTTACTTAACTCTGTATGTTATGGTCTGATTTTTAGAAGTATTTTCTCTTACACAGAGGCTCAACGATAAAACTGGACCAGTTGCGTCAGAGAAGAGTTGACATTTGACTGTTACTTGAGACCTGCACGTCCTGCTGTTCTAGCACTTCATCTGGCTGCAAACTGCCATTTTCCTTTCTGCAGACTGAAAAAAAAAATGCAACAAGGAACTCTTACTGCACAGCAAGAGGTTAATAATTTTCATAAGGAAATTTCCAGTAGGCTCTCATTTGCTTTCTTGTTGCACTAAAATGGATGTACTTTTTAACGTTTCAGACTGTGAAGTAGGTAAAACTCTGCAAATTGTAATTATTTTGTCAATATGATGGTACTAAGTATAAATTCAACCATAGCAAAACATATACTTGACTCTTCAGTCCTAATAGTATAAATTTAAAGGCTAGTAAACTGTCTGCAGTGGTTTCAGAGCAGTAGTTTTCACAGCCCCAGCCCTGACCGAGCGGATCTGCTGCTGCCGTTGCAGTAGAACCTTTTAGACTGAGCTTGTCATGGCAGCCAGGACTTGCTGTTCGTTGTTTCTTTTCTACACACCTCTTTTAAACCTGAATCATAAGGGAATTGACTTCTGAACTTTTTATTCCTTCAAATTCCTATTGTTATATAGAGTGGGAGTTTTTATTGGGTGAGAATTACAGTACGGAATCCAAAGTTTATTAATTTTGGTGTAGGTTTTAGAGCTCTGAGGTTTTTCAAGGAACCGGTTTGGTTCCAGTGACAAAAAGTTTTCTTACCAGATGAGAAGGCCACACTGGAAGAAGTTTGTGTAATGTTTGGCCTAAACCAAGTGCCTGTTGCTACCTCCATTTTGTCGAAACGGCTGCAAACAGCTGATCATGCACTAGACGTGTCCTTGTTAGCAGCAGGAACATTCTGTCTTGCACCAGCAGCCTCGTTCTGCCTTCCCTAGAGGTGTTTATACCACTGTAGATAGCTCAGGCAGATTGTTACCTGGGTCACTTTTCACTAATAAATTACCAAAAAAAGTGAGTTTGTATTTCCCACTAAAATTTAGCAGTGGTTGAAACGGGTGAACTTGTGTTGCAAACACTTCTGGCAGTCACTGATTTCATGGCATGAGTCTATGCAGTGTGGTGTGAAGAGCAGTTGAAATGGGGGTAATGACCACTAATCAATGTCAAGGTGGGAATTATTAGAGGAAAAGACCCAGCTGTAATTAGACCTCCACTGTGTACTTATTTGGAAGAACATGTTAATTCTGCAATATGTTTCTTAGTTAAACATTGCACAGTTCTTACCTCATTTCTGTAAATAAAGTTTTGTGAATCTGTTTTGTATTGTGAAGAATTCATAAGAAAACATTGATATTTTGATTTGTAATATTTCTAATTAGTAGATTTAATTGAAAAAGTAAAAATAATTTATTTTTATATGTTCTGGGGAATTTTTTAAAAAAATGTCACAAATCACTTTTGTAGATACTTTACAAAAGTAAACCAGTGGTTTATTTTACTTACTCAACCCACTGGTGGATATTCTGTAACAATTTGTACAAAAGGTAAGATGGAAATGTGCTGTTATTTTGACTAGATGTAAAATTCCAAGTGTATGAAAAGATATGTACAAAGCTTTTGTTAATAAACTTTAATAATGTTTATCATTGTATATAGCTCATGTGTGAGTCATGGGGAAGGATGGAGGATTTGCATTACCAGCACAAGAGAGGAAGGAACTCACTTGCATGTGGCCACTGAATTTTATTGCAAGTTTTTCAAAGTGCTTCTCATGTAAATTTTTGCTTTCAAGAGACACTGATGATGCAGCTGCATCAGAAATGCTGTTGCAGCCCTAGGTCTGATGTCAGGTTTTTGCCTTCACCCTTCAAAGAGAAATGACACAAAGTGTTGCTGCTTCCCAGTAAGAGCTTACAGAAACAACTAATTCTGGACAGCAGAGTCACCTCAAATCCTGGTTTTATCAGCTTTCTCCATTCGAGCTGTGTTAGCAGGAGCTACTCTCTCAGCAGCAGCACTGTGTGACATTTAGCTGACTGGTTTTGTGGTGCCTGTTTTTCATAAGCTGCACTAAAATCTCACTGTTGGTTCTGCCTAAAGGAGAGCTCAAGTCACTCAGTGTTGCTGTTGTTTTCAGACCTCACCACCTCACAAAGAGACTGCTAAAATCTTTCCTGAAACATCCTTTTTTTAAAAAAGTAGTTCAGACACTCAGAGCTGTAAAGTTCAAAGTAATACAGTCCAAACATTTAAACTTTCAGCTACAAGAACACTGCAGAACAGCATCTGTTGGTCTTTCCTCTAGACCCAAACAGCCTAAATGGGAGCACTACTAACATTCACAGCATCTCAGCCATATTCTACTCATTCACTTGTGTATGGTTGTTGGGCTAGAACTTTACAAAATTCTGATGCTTTAGCTTGGCACTGGACTGTAGCCTTAGCACAGTATGGGAATATTGCCCTCCCTGGCTCATCTGGCCCAAATGCCTCTTTCCATAGCATTCTGCCTGTCCCTTCACTGGGGACATGCAAAGACACTCAAAACTGGTTCAGATCTGACTCAGTCAGGTGCAAGTTGGAGTACAGAAGCTACAGCACAGCCCATCTCTAAGACTGAAAGCTTCTCATGCACAAAGTTACAGTGCAAAAGGCACCACTGACCTCTAGGAAAGCAAAACTACTTTGCTAGCAAGAAAGTATTAACATTGCATAAAGAAAATCTGCATTCCATGCTAGAACAAAAGGCTACAGTCCATCAATTCCCTTCCATCCATGCATGAGCAGCACCTGAGGTTAGACACAGCCATCCAGCACTTCAGAGACAAACCTGACAAGTTGACAGAATGGCATGTACAAGCCTTGCCCATCCCAAGGATCTTCCTTCAGGTAAGCTGTATTTGTCAGGAGCACTGCTTGAAGCTTCTCAGTGTGAATGGTATTACAAACAGCAGTTTTTACCAGCAAGCAGTGCCTGCCCTTCTCCTTCCTCAGACCCCATCCAGAAAGTTTAGGGTGGAGATGCTGAGGGTGTTGGGCAGTGTGTAACTATTGCCACATACACAGCAGGGACATGGGCAGGTTTAAGCAGGTACTCAGCTAAGTTTTTAAAGATTTCCAGAAATAAAAGTGTCAAAGACCTCCCAAGTCCTTATTACATTTGCCACTGTGTTTTTTTTCCCCCCAACTAATATCTAAGCAAGCTGTTCCCATTCCAAACTGACCCCATGATTAGTGTTCATAGCCACAACATACGTGTAACACTTCTGTATGGAGTGTTCAGGGAACATCACACACGTGCAAAGCTTCCTTCTACATCCTTGAAAGACTTTTCTTTCTCTAGTCTAGGGCAAATACCAACAATTCCTTCCTAGCAAATCAGGCACTGCAGACATCAGATCATTCCCTCTGCTCTTCTGGATGGTCTACATCTGCCTTAAAGTGTGATATACTGAACCAGGCACACCTTTCCAGGCAAAAATCTTGTAAATCCAGAGTGGAAAGGAAAGATGACTCTTCTCTTCACATGCTAAACTCTCCTGTTACTTGCTTGCTTTTTTTTTTTTTTCTCTTTATTTTAGAAGAGCAGGAATAGTCCCATTACCAGTCGATTTTTCTATGAACAATACATCTCCATTTCCTAGTGTTCCTCTACCCCAGCTCCACCCATTAATTTCCACCAATTCCCCTCACCATTTTAGCAGCTTTTCTTTACAGCCAGTGCAATCACTTACTTCATCTCTCTTCGAGTGGTCTGGATGACTAATACCTTTTCCTGATAACTCTTGAAAATACCTCACTTGATCTCCCTAAGATTCTTCTTTCATAGGTGCATTAGTAGCAAGAACTGCTGTTCAAAGGATTAGCACCACTCATCACACACAGTAGAGCTGCTAAACATGTTTAGCTTCCAATGTGGTTAACCTGTGAAGTTCTCTGTGAAACAAAATTTAGATACATTATTTTGTGTCCAGCAAAGTTTCCATAATATTATTTATACCAACAAAGATTAATCTTTTTATATATGACCAAAAAAACCCCCCACCAAACCATAAATGTTCCAACTGGTAAAGAAATGCATATGGGACACTGTTATTTATATTCCCTAAATACTTTGCCCATAAAGTTATATGGAATGGGTTGAAATGCTGATCTGTCAGCACAACTGGCAAACAGTTACTGGGGAAATCAGCAGTGAAATGGCAGAAAGTTAACAAGAGATATTCAGCCACCGAATTTCAAATCTGAGTTCAGGTACACAATGCTCTAAATTGTCATTCTGATTTTGAATTGATGCTCAAGAACTTATTAGAATCCTGGTACTAAATCAGAATTTGAGTGGTAAATAGCTCTCTTTAAAAATGCAAGTCCTTATGTTTCTTGCAGCAGACCAACCACTGCTGCCATTTACAGCCCACTGGGTACTCTGTGTTCAGCATTTTAAGATTTTCATACTTTTGGAAAATAAAGTAACAAGTAAGGAATAACAACCCTTTATATCTTCAGATATAAAATCTAACTATATTGAATCCAGGGTATACAACCACCCCCAAATATGAGAACACTCAGCCCAATAATGTTAGCCATTCTGTACTTAAAAACTGGTCCTGAAGTGCCTTATAGATCTTAATTTCTAATTAAGAAATTAAGGCCTTTAGTGTTTTTACCCATTTCAACTTCACCAAATTAACAACACTATCAAATAACACTGTATGTTACCCCAGGGTTGGCAAAAAGGGTGCAGATCAAAAATATGATTAGGTATTTACAGGAATAAGATATTTGTAAGCATATGGTCTTGGATTTAGAGCTGCAAGAAAGAAAAATCTCTTTTGAGTGCAGAGATCCATGACTCTTGTGCTTGCAGAACAGTCTCAGATCAATTCTCTCTTTCAAAACACATATAAATTGTTTCTATGCTGCATATCCAGTGGCTGCAAACCTACCAATTTCATTGTGAGTATCTTTCCTGAAGGTCCACTCATTTTTGTTACCACACATCTGCACAAGCAGCTCTTCAATACAAACACACCTTCACTACTAACACACTAGAGAGGTAAGAGGGTATAAGGTTTATTAATATTTTCTTTTGCTAAGGCACATGATGTATAGAAATACTGAGGTACAAAAATGCAGTTTCCTGCACAGGAGATTTAAAACCCCATTTTGACAAAGATGAGCTACCATCTCTTCTGCTCCACAATGTTCAGCTTTTAGTCATTTTTTTCTTTTGTACCAGTTCAACAAGCAACTTGTATCTTCCTATACACTCCTCCTGAAAGGAAACACAAAGGTGTTATTCAAGGGTTGGCATTTTAGTATTGCTTTATACCATACAAGCTACCGTACTTGAGAAGAGGAGCTGAGTTCTGAGGGCTGTGGGAGGGTTTTTTTGGGTGGTTTGGGTTTTCTTGTGGGTTTTTTTTTTGGTTGGTTGGGTTTTGGTGTTGTTTTGAAGTGCACACATGATTTCAGAAGGAGAATCTGCATCTAGAAAAATGAACTTGCAATTTAGATTTCTTAATGGATAATTTATCTCTTTAAAGAGCACACAAACCCAAGAAAGTTACCTGGAGCTTCTTGACAATGGCTGCAAGAGCAATAATTAAACAGTTGTATTGCAGCATCTGTTTCAGAACAGTTGCTCTGGCATGAGCCACACTGCAGATAGGTTAAGACAAACCTGTAAGGTCACTAATGCAGCACCAGATACTCCTGAACAGCTTCAGAGCCAGAGAAACACCAAAATCCACATCTCCCACCATGTGTCCTGCTCTCACACACAGTTTGTTTGGCACAAATCAAATCAGATGCCAGGGGAGGGTTAGGTTGGATATTAGGAAGAGATTTTTTACAGAGAGAGTGCTCAGGCATTGGAATGTGCTGCCCAGGGAGGTGGTGGATTCACCATCCCTGGAGGTTTTCAAGCTGAGACTGGATGTGGCACTTAGTGCCATGGGCTAGTAACCACGGTAGGGTTGGACTCAATCTTGGAGGTCTTTTCCAACCTGGTTGATTCTATGATTCTATCAGGCTTCTCTGCAGCTACAATGACTGAAGCAAGCAAACTAAGCTATGGCAACTATTAGGAAATCTAGCACAGACCAACTAGATCAATGACAACGAGAGCTATTTTAAAAAGATTATACTTACAAAAAAGAACATTAGACAGATTACTGAGCATTATACACTTGCAGATGGGTTACTTATTTTGTTCGTTCACTGAGATGGGTTGAGAAAGGTATTGTGAAAATGTAAGCAAAGCAGCTCACCAACGTTTGGATACTAACTTTGAATCAAAATTTGGTTTAAAATCTAATTTGTCCTGCAATTGAAGATCTGAAAGGCAGAGGAGAGGTAGGTATTTTAAATGAAACAGGAGTTAGTGCAACATTTTCTGTAATAGATGAAACAAACTCAATTAAATGAAACAGTATCTTAGAACAACATACATGACATGAAGCCTCTTCGGGTCGACGAGACTCAGCTGACAGGCCGAAGCAAAGGCCTCACCTTTCTGCACAGACCCTCAAGGTAATCATAAGCTGGGAGAAAATATGTTTCCCTTCAATTTATACCACAGTTCAAACAGAACTAGGCCTACCTTGCTTTTTCCAGGAACACATTTTGCTATTTTATCCCAGCGATCTGACGTTCCCTTTGGATACTGCTGCAAGGCCATTTCAAGAAGTTTCTGTTGATTTTGAGTCCACAGTTCTTCCAGGGCACGGCTCCTCTCTTTTCTTCTGCTCTCATCATCACTCTCCTCCTCTTGCTCGGTGTTATCAAAATCCTTCTGACGCCTCCCCCTGCCCTTGTCCTCTGGTGCCTCTCTCCCTGCTGGCACAGTCGTGTCAGGGGCTTTGACAACTTTTCGCTTGCGCTGTCTAGTTTCACTTGCAGAGGTTTCCTTTAGACCTGTTTGGACATCCATCTGCTGGTAGTTCCCCTCCTCCTCCTCTTCCTCCTCCCTCTCTCGCTGGGTGATTATGTGGTCTGGCAAATTCACGTTGACTTTGACATTTTTGGAATTCTGGGCCAGTGTTTTCAGCTCGGAGAGCCTGATGATACCTGCCAGAAACACTGTCATTACACTCCTGAAAGAGCAGAACACACCACAGACAAGCAAATAAAAGCTATCTGGCATAGTGCAGAGTGGAGAGAAACTCTTCTGGACTGAGAGCTTAAGGAAAATGCATATCAAGGCATTCAAGGTTATGAAGCAATGAACTTTGCCAATTAGGAGCTTATCTGATATATGTGAAGTGTTACTAAATTGGATATGAACAAACAGAACAGCCTGAACAAATGAACAAACCCCACGATAAACTGCACAGGAAAGCCTGGGGGGGATGGAACTAAAGGCAAAGGTTCTCTGGGACTACCCAACAGCTCTTCTCTCTGCTCAGAGCAAGGCAAGGCTGCAGAGGCCTCTGTGAAGCAGAGCCTGAAAGGCACAACACACACTGCACTGGCACAGCTATGACCCAGATACAGTGACTTGTATAAGCATCAGTGAGGATCCAGCAGCACACACCTGGTGTATATGTAACAGAATCCTTCAGCTGTTTGGCTTTCATGGTAACCTGCATGGAAACAACAGAAATAAAGGACTATTAAAAAATTACATTATTGGGGCTATTGAATTCATTATCAGTTTACCACAAAATACCTACATTGAGGATACATTAAATACAATGAGGCTGATGTTCTTTGGCTGCCTTTGCTCGTAATGTGGTGCCCAAACTGGCTAAAAGTAATGTTCTAGATCTTGTCCTTTCTGAAGCATTCCTGGCTGATTGAAATAATGCTAGTGATGCCACACATTTCTATTACTGTCACCATAATATACCACATCTGATATCCAAATTTGATTTTCTATCCTTGCTAAACCCCAGTTCTCTGACCTAAAAATACCACAAGGAGAAAGAGGGGAAAAAGGAGACAAGTGACTTATCTTCCTATATATTATTCTCAATACTGAGCAAAAGAACAAAACCCCCCACTGGTCCAGGTGATGAAGCACACACAGATGCCTTACAGTAAACCCATGTTAACATCCCAACTCCCAGGTTCAAACAGCAGGAAACACAGGGTACCCAGCCCAGGCAGTATCAGGCATTCAGTCCCAAAACAGAACACAACATTTGACTGCCAAAGATCAGCAAAGACACATCCTAAGTCCTCATACTTCAGGAAAAAGGTTTGTGGTTGAGAATCCCAAGGATGGAGAGCTGCCTGCTTCAGCCTCTCCATGTATACTGAAATCTCTGTCCTGGGAGAAAAGTAACACCAGATTTAGCATTTTCAGGATTTTAAAGTATAAAATGAATGATTATTTGAAAGTTTGTTTCTCCCCACCCACAATGAGGTGCTTCCCCATCCCAAATTTCTAGACCTTACAAGACAAGGCTTTGTTTAAAATGAAGAACCTTTTAATTACTTAGCATCTTTGTTATATCAAATGATCATAGAATCATAGGATGGTTTGGGTTGGAAGGCACCTTAAGGATCCAACCCCTCTGCCATGAGTGGACACCTCCCACTAGATCAGGTTGCTCAAAGCCCCATCCAACCTGGCTTTGAACACTGCCAGGGATGGGGCAGGCACAATTGATGGGGCAGCCACAATTTCTCTTGGGCAACTTGTTCCACTGTCTCACCACCCTCACAGCAAAGAATTTCTTCCTAATATCTAATCTAAACCTGTTTAAAGCCATTCCCCCTTGTGCTGTCACTACAGGCCCTTGTAAAATGTCCCACTCCAACTTTCTTGTGGGTACTGATCTAGAGAACCAAATTCAAGTACCACAACAAAGCATCTTAAAATGTAGTATTCAAAGAAATGCACACTCCTTTTGATTACTGAAAATCTATTATGAATACCACACTTCAGGTCTGTTGGTAGGGTTTGGGGTTTTTTTGTTTTTTTGTTTTT